ATCTTTGATTTTTTTTCAATTTATTTAAATAATATTTATATTCTTTAATTTTTTTGACAATACATTTAATTTGATTTGTTGTTTTTTGTAAATATATTTTTCAAATGTAATATTTGTGATTGTATGGTAGTTAGAGTTCGGTTCTCTTGATTTTGTGAGATTATGCTTTATTTTGTTATCTCTTGTTTAATGCTATAACATTTGAATTTTTGTAGGATGGAGTATCATTTAGATGCAGAGTTGAGACGGATGTCGGGGAAAGCTACTTGGAACAGTAGCTTTGAGAGTTTTACTGCTGTGTTGGAGCTGCTCGATGATCAGCACGGAGATATTCTACGACAACCCTTCTTGTGGCCACTGTACCAATTGTGAGAGGTGCAGTACTCAGGACAGATCATTGATGCACTTCTATGTCGGCTTCTGAGGCCAGTCGACGGCGATTCCCTCCATTTCGACCTCGGGGGCAAGGTCGTCAGTTTCTCGATGTTTGAGTTTACATTGATCACTGGACTGAAGATTATGGGCGACGATGCAGCCATGGAGAGAAGCAGTAGGCTGTACGAGACGTACTTCCAGGGACATGGGTTGGCGCTTCTACCCGACTTGATGGTCGCGATCAGGGGGTGCGACCATATGCTAGATAGATTGAAACTTGGGCTGGTCTACATCCTCGAGAGTGTGATAAGGTGTCATCACAAGAAGACTGCCATCGACATTTTTCATTTGCAAGTTGTTGACGACATCGATGCGTTCAACAACTATCCGTGGGGCCGAAGATGCTACGAAGACACTGTACATGTGTTCACCAGATCGCACTCGAGGCCCAGGGGGTCGATGCGTAAATGCGATACATATGGATTGTCGTTAGCTGTGCAGGTAAATGTTTAATATAATCAAAGTTAAAGTTTTAGTGTATTACATTGATGCTTAATAAGTGTATGAGTTACAGATTTGGGTGTATGAGACAGTTCCTGTACTGGGGGCCCGCTTTGCGCAGCAAGGGGAGACACGCTGCCCTCGGATGCATCATTGGAGATCATCGCGAGCGGAGGGATGTCCCACTGGGAAGCAGTTATCGGCCCTACTCGACGATCCTCAGGTAAGTATTATGCATTTGTGATTTATATTATACGTAGTTTAAAATTTTGTTTACATGATCGTTAAATAGTTGAAATGTCAATATGTCAGTTTGAAGTCATACCTGAGTTGACGCCATCGATGGAAGAAGAAGCTCGGGGTCTTGTGCGGGATTTAGGCGTTCCGCACACTCCAGACGAGGAGATGCCTGATCCGAGTTTGGACCGAGATTGGGTATGTGAATGAAATATAATTTGTTGAATATGATCGACGTATAAATTTATTGAATAATTTATTGAATAATTTTTCATTTTATTTATGTAGGAGGGCGGTCCAGCTGATCGACGATCACCTCCGTCGGGGCCATCGCCGCCGCCATTGGCATCACCTCCGTCCAGACACCTCCCCCATGTGTCTCTGGGGCACAGTGATGATTTGTATGCCCGTTTGACTGGATTTATAGCGGAGGAGGTCAGCGCGCTACGACGAGATTTGACGGAGAGGGTCGATGATCTGGGACGAGAGTTGACAGGGAGGGTCGACGATCTGGCGGGGAAGGTTGACTATATGACAGGGAGGGTCGACGATATGGGACGAGAGTTGACAGGGAGGGTTGACGATCTATCCCATGATGTTAGAATACTATAGTCTTCCGTTGTCGACCTTCAGGATACA